GCACAAATTTTTGTGCACTGGGCCTCTAGTATATATATAAAAGCCTAACATGCTAAGTGTCCGACCATTTGACCCTTTGACCTATTGCTATGACACACACTAACCACCAGGGGTAATACACCCGACCAGTAGGTTAGCTTGCTGCTGGGGTCCGGCCGATTGGGGATTGGGTGAGAGAGCTGGACATGCCCTGGAGACCTCGCGTGGTACCTCCCCAGCCAGTGTGCCTCCCAGATTGCAAGAGGACCCAGGCCAGGCCGAGGGACCACACCGGTTCACGAATCTGTGCACCAGGCCTCTAGTAAAAATACATTTACCAAAAAAAGGGCTGGGTCTGGTGGGTGGCTTTGGAGCCAGGGCAGCTGGTTCTGGTCCTCCCCACTCTGCCCCCTCCTAACTGAGTGGCCCTGGGGAAAGCCACCAGGGTCTCCGTGTCCCACATCTGCCAGCGCTCTGCTGAGATTCCAGGGTGGTTAGTGATTGGCAGCTCCTCCCATACCCATGAGGGCTGCTCTCAGCGGGGAGCCTTGGACAACATGTCCTCTCTGCTGGTGTGGGGCCCTGTGAGCAGAATCCAGCCATTCCCTCTGCTGTGAGGCCAGAGTTACTGAGCTCCTGCCAGCAGGCAGCCCGCGTCCTGCAGCTTCTCCCTCACACTGACCTGTCAGTGCGGACCATCTTCTGAAATAGTCCCTCTGGTCACCTCCTGAGGCAGGGAGGAGGGTCATCTGACAGATGGGGAAACTGAGGCCCTGAGGAGCTGTGGGACTTGTCCAGCAGCCTCCGAGCTGGGAAAGAGCCCGACCCAGGCTCCTGACTGTACGGGGAGGCCCTTCCTCTGCCCCTCGGGCCCCCTTCTCACCTCTCCCCCCAGGACGTCTCCTGCTGCCCATTCAAAGGACCAGTTCTCACTGCTCCTGCCTTTAAAGATGAGGGTGACCTGTCCCACAGCTTCTTTCTGGTTCCCCAGTGCTTGTGCAGCCTTGACCAAAGTGGTGTGGCCCTGGGAGAGAGTTGGGCAGCATCACAGGCCTGGGTTAGAGTCCTGGCACCTGGCTCTGCCACCCACCAGCTGTGAGGTGTCAGGCAAGGCCTTTCCCTCTGAGCCTCGGCTTCCCCATCTGTGCGATGGGTATAAGGGGCCAACCTTTGGGGCTTGCTTGGGAGGCAAAGGTATGTGAACGCACTCTGCAGACCCGTGAGTGTGGGCACACACGTGTGAGTATCTCCTGGTGGTATTAGGGGTCAGCTAGTCATTCTTTGGTTTATTCAGAAAGTCTTGATTGAGATCACAGGATGTGCCAGGCACTGTTCCAGCGCTGGGGTCCCAGCCAGGCACAGCAGCAACAAACGTCCCTGCCCCATGTGGCTCACATCCGTGTGGAGACACGCAATAAACAGTGCTCTAACATACGTGTACCATATCAGAGGCTGACCCCTGCTGCAAAGATAGGGAGAGGGGTCCTGGTTTCCTGGGGAGTGAGCTGGGGGTGTCTGAGCAGAGACCTGAGTGAAGTGAGGGAGTGAGCCCGGTGGGTCTTTTAGAGAACACCCAGGTGAGGCACAGGGAGTGCAGAGGCCCTGGGATGGGGGCCTGTGTGTGAGGAGCAGCCTGGAGGCCAGTGTGGCGACTGGAGTGGGTGAGCTGGAGGCTGTGGGGTGAGGAAGGATGGGGACAGTGTGGGAGGCAGGGGCATCTGAAGGAGGGGGTGGCACAGCTCAGGGAGGGCAGCTTGAGTCCTGGTAGATGATTGGCGTGCTGTTTTGAGTCAGAAGTCAATAGTTAAGGACAAACTCAGAGACTTCTGCAGGCCCACTGTGTGACACTCTCACTCCTCTCAGTCTTGGTGAAAAGGAAGTAAAAGGCAGTGAGGCCCATTTAACACATGCTTTGCAGGGTTTTAATGAGACCCAGGAGGCTGGGGAGGGGGTTTCACTGGTGGGACCTGCACACCAGGGAGCACTGAGAGGCACTGGGCTTGCTGGGGTCACATCCCCAGCAGGGCCTGTGTCCTAGTCCTGGACATCACGGAGACAGCCAGGTGACTCTCGTGTGGGGGAGGGTGGCTGCCTGCACAGGGCGGAAGCACTGGACCAACGGGTGATCCATGTCCTGGTCATGGCACACAGGGAAGACCAGACGTCATCACGCGACTCAGAAAGACAGGCAGTTTCAAACGTATGAATTGTTTATTTCTCTCTTTAAAAATGTATTTTGATCGATTTGAGAGAGAGAGAGGAAGGGAAGGGAGACAGAGATAGAAACATCGATTGGCTGCCTCCTGCATGACCCCTGCTGGGGATCAAGCCGGAAACCTGGGCATGTGCCCTGACTGGGATCAGCCCCTGCGCCACACCAGCCGAGATTAATTGTTTATCTCAGAAAGTTTCCATTTACTATTCTCGGACCGTGGTTGACTGTGGGTAACTGAACCATGGAAAGTAAAACTGGGTATGGGGGCTGCTGTAGGAGACACGGTTCACATTCCTGGCTCAGGACCTCCTGGCTGTGCAGCCTGGCGTTACTATAACCTCAGTCCTCGTCTCCACCTGTTAGAGCTGGGTAGGGCGTTGGGGCTTGGAGGGGATATGTGTGAGACAAGACAAACAAAATGAGAGAATGGAGAGAAACCAAGATGGTGGCATAGGTAAACACCGGAGTTTGCTGCCTCGCACAACCACTTCAAAAATACAACTAAAAGATGAAACAGACATCATCCAGAACCACAGGAAGGCTGGCTGAGTGGAAATTCTACAACTAGAAGGAAAGAGAAAAGCATATCGGGACTCAGAGAAGGTGTGGTGCGGAAGTAAAATACTAAGGTACAGAGGCGCACACGGAGCGGGCTGGCGGCTGAGGGCGCGGTTGTCTTTTTCAATCGGGAGGGAGTCTCAGGCTCTGAGCTCCAGTTCCGGGCGAGTCTCTGGGGACCTAGACTCATACGGGAGAAGCGGGACTGTCTGGCATCGGTCGGAACTCGAGGGCAGCTTTCTCTCGGAGGTACTTGCAGCAATTGCTGGGACACTGAGAAGCCAGGCCTCTGGAGGCAGGACTGAGAGCAGCCATAAATGCTCGCTCCACCTGCCCTGTTGATCCCTTGGGACCCGCCCTGCCCAAGCCTTGCACAGAGACATTTGCTGGATAGCCTCAGGCAGAGGCTAGATTAGCACCTCCCTAGAGCTCCAGGACAGAAGTTCTCCCACTGCAGACACAGCTGATTCTCACAGCCAATTGGCCTGGAGGTCAAATCCTCCCAGCTTTACATACAACAATCAAGGCTTAACTACAACAAGACTGTGCACAAAGCCCACAAAGGGGTGCACCAAGAGTGTCTACTTCAGGTAATTGGGACACTTAGCACAGAAAGGCACTC